ACCGGAACGTGTCGTGCAGCACGTGGCCAGATTTATATATTTCCGAGCCGAGTTTCGATTCGATCGGTAACGAGGAACCAGTTAAAAATTGCATTCCTTTGAAAATTTATGGAAGAATCTCACCTCCGAGACTTCACGCGACTGATAATACATCTCGATGGTACGTTCTACCCGAGGTCGCAAAAATTCCACGAGAAGGGGGACATCTGGACCGTTCTTTCGTTTTTTTTTTTTCCCCCCGCGGAGGTTCGCATAAATTTCCCCATTCTTCTGTCGTCCGTTATTACATCTCGGACCACTCTCGTGCGCGTACGTAAGTACACGCGTGCAACGAGTTTATAGCGTGCCATTATTCAATCACGTGGCTGCCGCGCGTATGTACAAGCGTCGGGGTAAAAATATACACCGAGGAAAGGAAAAAAAATTGGAGCAAACTTCAGGGACGTGTAGATTCGCTGGAGACAAGTCGCGAAACACGTCCTGGATCCCGATTGGCGACACGCCGTCTGCCAATCGGAGCCCTCGCGACTTGAACGAAGACGTTCTGGTATACCAAAGATCAGCAAAATCTAAATGATTTATCTATATATAGTAGATAAATAAAATACAAAAGTTTCGTTCAATATTTTCATTTAGAAATATTGAATACGGAATAAAAGATACACGACCGTTTGTCTCGTTACTTGTCGAATAAAAATCAGAATGTTCGATGGAACAAATTGCAACGCGTTGGTTTCGTTATAAAATGTTGCCTATTTTCGTCGTGCTGCTCGTCGAAATAGACAAACAGGTTTTAATAAACATCGTGCGTATAAAACACATTGTACACGGAGGCGATCTAGCGATCAACGCATGCGTGTGTTGCACGTCGAACGTCCTGACCGCGCGATTTTTAGGAAATCACGATCTCGACGAAGGGCCCCATAAAATGGATTAAAATTTCCCTGAAGCTTCTCGACATTAGCATATTATATTTACGCCCGTGTTATATTCGCTATTGCAATCGCATTATTGCCCAGGCGTCGTGCCGTAATTCTTCTCGACGATATCGCGAATAGACCAATGGAGGACGCTCGACTGGTTTTTGCCACCGAATCGCGAATTCCTGGACTGGACGGAACGAGCGAGTTTTAGTAGACGATTAGCATACTAAATTTACGCGCGTCGGCACGGACAGGCCTGTCGTGTCACAAATTATAAACGCCTCGAACGCTCTGCTCCCTGATAGAACAGCGGTACACTTTTTTTCCGGTTACGAGAGCAACGACATCGTGCAAAAACCTCCGCGTTTCGACTCCGAGTGACCTTCTTCAGGATGCACTCTATAATTTGCATGTGGCAAAGAATATTGTTGGATGACCAACACGACCAAACACCACTCCGTCACCTCGCAAACATTACTCATCCAAAACATCCTAGTCCAGATTTCTAATCCTTACTCATCCTGAACCTCGTACCCTTGACCATCGTCCCTACCTCTACCCATCTCTACCAATAACACATAAACGCCTGCAATACCGAAAAACGGACAGAAAGTGTCTAGTCTTCCAGTCGACGTAATTGTACGAGTTTTCTTTTCTTAAATAAAGTGTTGGAATCCAACAATATTTACTTCAACACTTTGGCTGCCACGTCACCCATATATGGATGACAAGACTTTCTCACTATGGAACTAAAACAATTCATTCTGAAATTGAAATTGAAATTGAAATGTTAAATAAATTTGTATAGGACGAAGTTCAACGTACGAAAATAAGTAGCAAAGACGGATTTTAAGTTATGCAGTTTACAATTATTTAAAATCGTAGTTTTGTGTGGCAGTCAACGTGTTAACCACTTGCCTTACGATTTAATTTCCAACTGTGCGTGCCAAGTAGACTTATCGCGTCTCTGAGACGTCTTGTTCATTGCAAGCTAAGGGGTTAAATATTCTACGCTAATTTTGCAAATGATGTGAAATCGAGAAGTCGCGGTACGTTTTATGATGCGAGTTTCGGAGTAAAAGAGGTTGGAGAACAGTAAAATAGAGGCGCGTTGGTTGAAGGAGAACTTTACCCTTTGCATACTCGCGGTAATGCGACTGCGAAGGCCCATTACGCCCTAACGGCGGAAGACTGCGAATGGGGGATTAAAGATTATAGGATCTCGGAACGACATCGTTCTCAGCGCGTGAGAATGCAGAAATGCTCGATCGGAGAGCGCCCGTGAGAGAACGATGACAAACTCTTTGGGTTTCTTTCGCTGGATTAATTGAAAGTCAGGCCCGATGAAGTGGCGATAAACGCGAGTCTTGTCGGATATTTTGTACAACTTTGTGCCATATTCATTCTTGGCGATGGAAATTCGATCGTCGAGCGCGGGGAACGCCATTTTGCGACTCTACTTGTTCCTAAGTTGGTCCCAGGAAAAGGACAATGCGGCGAAATTTTTATTTAATCCAGTGACGAAGCTTCGATGCTCGATATTTTAATTTGAATGGCAAGTTTGTTTAATGGGGGTCGATTACGCGTAATAAAATCTGTAAATCGGATCGAGTGACGCCACTGTACGGCACCGGGAGGATCGCAGAATGCGAGAGGAAGAGGAAGGAACTCGCCCTCGTGCACGAGCCGTTGCGAGCGTGCGGGAGATTAAAACGAAAAACCATCTCGGTCCTTCCTTTTTTTATCCCCTCCCCTCCTGGTGCCCCCTCCGGTTGAAAGAGCATCGCACTTGGCCGCGGAGAGATACCGGGCTCCCTGCGGAGAATTCAATGGGTGCTCCGACCAAAGCCATTTGCCGAGAAAAAGAGAAAAAGGGAGAGCCTGGATGTCGATACAGGAGCATCGGCGTCGCTCCGGAAGGAGTCGGTTTTGTTGCTTCTCGCGCGCGAGGACCGCGCGTGCAACGCCCGATCAAAAGGCAACCGGGAACACGTTTTTCGGGGCCGGAGTCACGCGACCAAACCGGAACACGTGCTGCCATATCGGTCATCCGCGGTTCATCTATCGTTCGATCGCGACGAATGCATCGATAAACGATCGTCGGATAGCCACGCCATGCAATTGCAATCGTACTTCGTTGATCAGTGTCTTTTTTAACACTTTGATGACCCCAAGTCTCAGCTGTTCGACTCGAAGAGTTGCAATTCTATATTTTATGAATAGATATCAATTTTATTAGTTCAAATAGCATTTATTAAGTAACGTTGTACATATTCAGAGTGTGTTAACTTGTTCGATAGGTTTCCATAGTAAAAAATATTCTACTGTCCTTTCGAAGTACGGCAGAACTTCATTTATTTCGACGAAATTCTAACCCCTGGGTGATCGAATTATTTTGATTTGAACTCTGGTTATTTGAGTGAAAAATCAATAAGGCGATGAGGAAAATTGGTGTGCTAATATTATATGGACTGCTCGTTCCTGGACAGTTTTCCATACGCGAGGTTTTACCAGACTGTTCATGGTTGCCACGTTCTTTGATCCTGAAAGATCTTTCGGATTGCAGATATAGAAGATACGTGTTCTGTATTCGACTAAACCATGATTCAAAACCGTACTGACCTACATACGGGTCAGCGACAGAGGCGAGCAAAATTTAATCCGATTAACTATTACAATTGCAACTCCAGACTGCATTTTGTAATGGTTTATCACCCTGATAACACGGTTATAAAATCTGTACGAAACACGGTTTGTGCATAACTCAAACGTCGAATCGTATGAGAAGAAGTAACAAGAAAAGTAAAAATCCAATCGTTGGGTTGAACATTCCAGTACAAAATGGTCTACGAACTATTTACGATTGTGTACCTGTCGCTCTCCGCGAATATTAACCTAAATGCTCCGATTAGAAAGCATATAGAGGATTCTCCAGCCGTTGAATCCAATCTCTTTACTTTCAAATAAAATCACACCGAAACCACGGTAAATAATTGCCATCAAAAGCGAGCTTTATCGAGGATTAGTGTTGTACCCATCAAGACTGCCTGTAACTACTGCTAGATAACACACATTCCCACATTTTCCACTTTACACTAATATTTGTTAATACATCCTGCATGAAGGAACGAGTACGTAAATCTCGAACCAGTCGGAAGGAGAATATTAATAATTGATTAACATTCAAACACACCTTGCCCATGGAAATAAACTACGTACCTTAAAAACTATCGAATACCAAGCACGCGAATAATTCGCGTCTTCGCGAAGGCATAAAAAACTGACACGAAAGTTCCCGGAAAAAGCCAGCGTGGCGAGTATTATAATTCACTTGGAATTGGGAATCGCGCGAATTCCGTAAGATTCGGGTTAACTCGTTAAAACGTTCCTCGCGCTTTCCCTCGTTCTCCGTTGGCCCTTTGAACTTTGCGGTCGGTTAACTGACCCACTTCGTACGGGGATCAATTCCCGCCCGAATAACGCGCACCGTCGATCGCGATTGAAAGCAAAAATCGCGTTTCAGCGTAACATACGTGGATCTTCCACTTCTTCGAATCATTACGCGAAGACTGAAGTTTACAATTACCAGGTGTGGATCGATCGTCACGGCACTGAACGCGTTACAAAGAGACGAGAAATATCTTTCAACGAAAGTCGATCAGGTACGAAAGAGTTAATATTTCGCCGTGTAACTACTTAAGCGCGATTATCGATCACCCGTTAGGCATCCGAGGAGGGATCCGTAGGGAACGGTTCCGCTGCCCGTGGCCGTTGGAGCGGTTCGCGGGCGTTGTAACGAATGGGGGCCCACGTCTGTCGGTGCAACGCGTGGAGTTCATTTGTTTCTCAATTAGCCGACCGTGAAACCGTTGAAATTAAACGGGACGGCGCGGGAAACGGAGTCGTCGATCAATTTCTCGGCCCCGATCGGCGGCGTTAAGGTCGCGGAAAACGAGGGGGTACCGCGAGGGGGGGGGGCCGTGGAAACGAAAACGAGGCTGCGACCTGTTGCGGACTTTCACCGGTGCGGAACGATCGGTGGATCGTGGGCGCGCGAAGGTTAAAAGCGATACCGACCTTGGAGGCAACACAGCAGGACGATCCCGACGACGAGGGAGACGTGACGTTGCATCCTCGGGTATACTGTCGACGTAGATCCGTTCGGATGGCTCTTGCCACGATCGTAAAACCAGCGTGTACAGGACGTATACAAAGAGACAACTTTCTCGGTGCGCAGTGGGCGGACGTCTGCGTGCGATTATCTTATTGCGTGGACGTTCGTGGTGTCTCGCCACCGGGTCGTTAAGGAGGATAAGGCCGTTGGCGCGCGGGAAAAAGATGCTTCGTGGAAGGAGAGCAGACGGGTGGCGAAGCCGTGAAGAGGAAAGAAGAGAGGAGGAAGCGTGCCCTCTTCGACCTCTATCGTCCTTCGAGGTCCACGAACGACTGAGGCGCACGAAGCGACGTCGGTCCGGCTATAGCCTCCCCTTCCTACTTTCACGTGGCGTGCTCCCGTTTCCAGTGGAGGCGCGGACCGGAGAGCCTCTCCACGGGCCATTTACCATTACCATCGTCGTCGACGACGGTCGGTCAAACGAGGGGGGCCAGCTGGACGCGAGAGAGAACCCACCGAGGGGAGAAGAAGCCTGAAAACCCACCAACTCCGATCGGAGATCGGAGAACCGTCGTTTCTAGGCCAGCTCTTCCTCCTCCGCCAGAACAGACGACTTATTCTTCGTCTTCGACCTCTTCTTCGACGGCCACGCGGAAACGGGCCTCCAGCCTTTCTGGCCTCCGGGACTTTTCCGATCTTCGAAGGGATGTCCCGCGCCCGTTAATGGTGCCACCGAGACCTGTTCCGATACCACACGCTCCACGTTCCAAGTTTCTATCCGATCATTGTTACGGGGTCTCGTGCGCCTTACGGTTTCTCCTACTCCTTCGCGATCCACGGCCATACCAAACGCGACGATCTTTTGTCAGAATCAAACAGTCTCAGGGTGTCATGTGCAAACAATAAAAAACGAGTTGCACGTTGGTATAACTATCTCGAAAGATATTAACGAACTATGCCTATCTCACTCAGTAACTACTTCAACTTTGTATCCTGCAAACATTTTCTCTTGGTCTCGCGTATGAATGATTAGAGAGCTTCTTTAACAAACACGACGTGTTAAAGAAGAAACTCGCCATAACTCGGGAAACAAGGACGAATAGAACATATGTTTGCACGAACTTTTGCAGAAGATACGGGACAATTAGGAAAGAATAAAAAAAAAATGAAAAATCTATCTCGATAGATCTCTCCTTGTGGATCGACCGATCGGGTTTGTGACTCGCGTCGCGAGTGATCGGAAACCGGAGGATGTGTGCTCGATTTGCACCGTATTCATTAACCGATGGCCAAGATCGAACTTGAATGGCACGCTGCGAAGACGTCGTTAAAACGACTCGTTGGATCGTAAACTCCTTGGGATTCGATAATGACCGGTGATGAGATTATTTTCTGCTTCCGAGGCAATCAAAGTCCGCCCCTGACAGGGATACTCGAGGCGATTCCGAAATCGGAGCTCCCGGCGTTCTAACGATCGCTGTACGAACACATTTCGATCGAGAAAGAAAATTTATAGCAATGGTTGTTCGATTCTTTGCAACGTTGCTGGGGTTGTTTATCAGTCCATACGCGTCGCGCCATTCCGGGCTAAATTGACGTTTACAATCTACAAGTTTATCTACGACGAGGGGTACAATTTGTACAACTAATCTCAACGCTTGTCGGGTACTAAATACGCTTTTAATACGTTCGACGCGTCTCGTTTTATTTGTATTTAACTACAGCGTCTGTTGCTCCATCTGCTCTGGCCGTTATATTCATCTCAACTTACGCCAGCTATTTTAGAACCAATTACAATAATGCACGGTTGGGTTTCCACGATCTATCTCCATTCTTCCTCCGCCACTGAGAGTCATTAACGGACCTAACGGGGAAGGGAGAATTAATTAAATGGAAGGAAGAAGAAACACTTTATCCTTCACTGTTGGGCCCTGAGGGATCACTCTGGTCGAATCCACTCGCGAAAGATCGAGTAGCAATGAGTCAAGTGATTAAAAAAAAGATGGTACCCATCCTTGATGATAAGGAAGACCCTTGACCGAATAATTCCGAGTCCTAGACCTTGATAGTTGCTCGAAAGCACGTTTAGAGCATGACTGTACCGTTCAGCGTTGCAGGTGGATCGGGGGTACCCAATTTCCTGGCGAACCCACAGGCGCGTTCTTTTTTTTATACGTCGCGGAGGATTGATGAACCCCGGGAACGGGGGATAGTTTTCCTTTTCAGAAAACAACCCGTCCAACTACGCGAGGCAGAAGCAAAACGTGCGCTCTACGTGGAACCTGATTGAGAAAGTTAGACGATTAAAAAGCACGGAATATTCCCGGGCTTCCCATCGAACGACGGCATCGTTCCCGCGTTGACGCGCGCACCGCGATTTACATTTCAGCGGGTGCACTTTCTAATCGAACGATCGCCGGGGAATTTTCTTGTTACCGACAGCGACATTAGTCTCCTTTCCTACTTACATTCTAACCGCTAATTTCACGTGTAAACGGAGTCGCGCACCAGGAACGCTTTAAGGCCGCGTTAACCTCGCGTACGCGTCCTGCGACCAGCCTCTAATTGCCACCGGATTTTACGGGACCCGGCTAATTAAGCAGAATGTAAAAATATCCGCACCTCCGTCGTGAGGCTCGTGGGGACCGATCGAGAAGCTTTCAAGATCGTGACAAAGGGGTTCCCCCCGATCGTTGGCGCGAGTTCGATGGATCGATGATAAAATTGGTCGGCGTACACTTTCCTAGATTCGGCGAAGTCGCTCTCGGTGCTCCAGTTTCGGTCTAATGTTCGAACGGGGTCTAAAAAACCATCGGCACACCGGTCGTTACACACGAAAGTGTGGCAGTGGCCCGTGGGGGGAGCGAGGCCGTTCGCCGCGGCGCGGTTGCAAGCGCAGCTGAACCCGAACCTTACGACGCTGCAACGATCGACGAAGGCCGGAGGGGATCGTTCATCAACATCAACTGTCGGAGTATCGCGAGATGCGCGCGTCTACATATGTATCAGCCTTCGCTCGCGCGGTCTACACCATTAACCCACTTGCGCGTTTAACGCGGTTGCTTTGCCTAAGGCCGCGAACGTATGCAACGCGACGACTTGGAGCCCAGACACGCACCGAAATCAATGCTCCTTCGATCGTTCAATCGCCATGATCCTGCTCTCCTCTTCCACTCTGCACAGTTCGGAGCTGGTCAGAATTTTAGGTGTTCGACTATCTTGAAGAAATTTTAATTGGAGATTCTGGAGGGCAAAATGAGACGAAAATCAAGAATACCAATTTGTTAATGGAGGCCTCGTTAAAAAGTTATTAACGTTTGAAGCTCCGTCTGTAGAACAGTAATAGTGGTTCTCACTCAGCATGCTTCGAACGTTAATAACTTTCTAACGAAGCCTCGATCAAGGAATTGTTATTCTTTATTTTCGTCTTATTTTGGCCCCCAGAATCTCCCATTAAAATTTTTCCAAGATAGAAACGAAATTAAAAAGGTTAGTGGCCCCTTAACTCTGGGGTAACAGTAATCTTCCAATTTTGTGATACAGAAAAGTATGCTGTACAGATGCTGTACGAATTGCACTGTCGATCGGTAGAGTCGAGTGTTCGGAATCTGGTGGCTCGACCGATGCGGGCCTGGTGATCGTCTACGTGTAACGATTCGCATGTTTTTGCATGTGCCTGGCGACGGCCTTAAAACGACGAAACGGCCGAGCAACGACCCCGTTCGCCGGTGTCGTCTCGATATCATTACCGATCTCCGATCCTGCACGGTTCGTTTGCACGGCTCCGCAATAAATACCCTAAAACCGACGTGACGCGCCGTACGAGGCTTTAAAAGGTCTTAAATCACGTTTCCACCGGTAACGATTTACGGTCGAGTACGGACGGAGTTGCCCGTGGCCCCCCGACACAAAGGGAATAATAAATACTCGCGGTGAGAGCTTCTTAGCGACAATAATGCGTAAGAAATGACGCCGCGAGGATCGGTAAGCGATTCTGTGCGACACATCGGAACGACTCGCGCACGTCCGGCTGGCAAGAATGCCCTTTCAGCGAATTGAATTTGAATGGATTCATCATCTTCCTCTATAAACGACGTAGATTTCTTGCACGACCGGCTCTCTTACATCCTGAACGAACCGGCTCACGGCTGTCCCGAGCCTTTTGTTCGCGATCCAATTTTGCAATCAATTTCGATCGACCCTGCCCCCCCTTGGTACCCCGAACTTTTTCAATCCGGATCCCCGACGGGAGACACTTCTCTTTCGGTTTTGCACGACGAATCGCAAAAATTGCTCTCGTTTTTCTCACCGCACCACCCACGTCGCGTTAACCTTCCGCGAGTCCACGGTCCCTCGAGATTACAGACGGGGCCAGGATAGAACGCGTCGATCATTCGAACTAATAGGTGTAATCATCGATAATCTACGCCGGATGTGTCTTTGATTTCTCGCGTTATAATTGCGACAGCGCGCGAGTCGTGTCGTAAATTAAAAGCAACATGCGAGGACCCGTTCGCTGAACAACGTGTTCCCTGGAACAAGAAGTTGATTTATCTTTACGGACGAGAAAAGGTACCGACCGATAAAATCGAACTGGGAAGGTGTAATGATACGTGGCAGGGATCGAGCCACAAAGGAGAAACAGAAATAAATTTTATTCAGTACGGGATACGAACAGTGCCAATTATCTCGGATTGATAAAGAAACCAAATCAGCAAGCGTTGCTCGGTATATTTCTGGACACGTTACGCGTTCAAAGTTTTGCGGAGAGCCTTGTTTCTCCCGAAAGAAACGATTTCTGTTCTGGAATTGCTCGCGCTCCCCCGGATCTAAATATAGTGGAGGTTTTCTTGGAGATCGCTATTCGCGAGCAATGTACGCGAGCCACAATAGAATTACGGATTCGCGCGAACGATAGAAATCGGTACAGAAATTATTATTCACGGTTCTTGTATTCTCGACTTTTTCTGAGTTCGATAAGGAAAATCAGAGAGCCCTACGCTCGCGATACCAATCCGAGAACAGGATAATTCGACGCGGGGAACGAGCAAAGTCTGGTTCAACGAAGGTGATCCACTTTATTCGTTCCATACGCACTCGAGCACCTGCGATCTACCGCGGTCGTCGTAAATTATCGTAACATTATCCCGGCCAACTTTGTGCACCGTTATACCGATTAATTAATATACTCGGCGAGCCGTGTTTAAGATTCATTACCCGCGTCAAATCCCACCAAAACGTTGGAAGTTGAAGCGATAATTAAAATACACGTGTACCAGTGGTCGTCGGTCGACACTGTGAGAGATATCTTCCACGATCCATACGACACTCGTTCGTAACGTCGGATGGAATTTATGTGCACGTTCCTAATCGGAAACACCGGTGGGTACAGCGATCGGAAATTATTCGTACAGTTTGTTATAATGGCTGGTAGAGCGAGCTGATCGCTCTGGGGCACGTGTCGCGACATCATTACGCTATCGATAGTTTGTAATTCGTGGACCGTTAAACCACGACCAGCAAGAGTGGAAACGGAT